TAGTATGGGTTGCAATTGTTTGAGGATTTGCCACACAAGTTCGAGGGAGGGGTGATATGTCATAACCAGCGGTGTGCAATTTGTGGGGGGGTTTCTTCTGTACTGCAGCAGTTCTTCACGTGGTATCCAGGTGGCTCTTCCAAATGTGCGATCTCTCTCTGAAGGAGTGTCCTTGTTGGGTGAAAGCCTTTTTAAGATTGGTGAAGTGGAAATCCCAGGTGTTCTCTTCAGTGCAAATTCAGTGGTATCTGAGGGCTTTGCTGTATATCACAGCTTTTTTTGATGTGTTTAGGGTGATTGCTGGTTCTTTGCAGATATGTATGTTGGTCTGGGGGTTTGTTGTACAACATGGTCTGTATTTTATCATTCTGGATACTGATCATTGTATCTAAAAAGGAGACGTTGGTGCTGGAGTATTCTAGAGAAAGTCGGATGGAGGGATGGTGACTGTTGAATTTCTGATGGAACTCAATCAAAGATTGTAGGTTTTCAGTCCAAATGATGATGTCATCGATATATCTTAAGTATAGCAAGGGTTTGATCGTGCAGTTCTTGAGGAAGTCTTCTTCCAGGTAGCTTATAAAAAGGTTAGCATACTGTGGGGCCATTTTGGTGCCTGTAGCTGTTCCCATCATCTGGAGGAAGTGTTGGTTATTAAAAGTGAAATTGTTGTGTGTGAGGATGATGAAGAACATCAGTAGAACCATACATCTGCAATGTGAATGTTTGACAGCCTTCAAGATTAGCATCTGCTTTCTGCTTAGTCCAGTCAGGATTTGTGGAAAACATTGTTTTTGAGCAACAGGAAAAACAACTGGCTAAAAACGTTGTGTGGCCTGCTTGCTAAAACCTGCTACAGGCAGTCTTGTGTTAGCATGAAACCACTCTTGTCATTTACATGTCAATAGCTACACAAACCATGTGCTCCCTGCAACTGCGTCTTCCTGGTTTTGGCTGGAAAGAGCTGAAATGTTAACCACATTCCTACTAACTCCCAATCTTTCCTAAGCTTCCAGAATTTCTCATTTGATGTGAGAAACACCCCCTCCCCTACAAAAGGTAAGCTGCGCTTGTCTGTCTCTTATGAGAAATTGCCTGTTGTCTGCTTGAACACTCTACCAAACCATGCAGCATGCACACATTCCTTTGGTTTTGTCCCAATAATTTACAATTTTTTTGAATGCAGAGCTGAGGCTTCAGGCTTCCCTTATGTTGTTTTTAAGCTGAAGGTCAGGGTTGCCCAAGAAATTTTTTTAATGGTTTTGGATGGTCTCCCCAGGAGAGAGAGCTTCTCAGTTCCCCAACTCAAGTCATGGATGAGTGCAGTCTGCCAGTGTCTTTGCATGAAATAACTATTTCCATTCCATTCCACAATTTACCCTCAAGCACATGGAATATTCGGCTTCTATGCTTTGCAGCTAAAAAAAAAAAAAAAAAAAAAGAGATCATGGAGCACCAACGACACTGCCCCCCTCCCCCACTGTAAAAACCCTGATCACCCTGTAGAAACTGCTCATACGGGATTTGTTTTTGCCTTCGTATCTAATGGAAATGTGTTTCATTGATCCATTCTAACACGTTTGCGTTTTCTCACCTGAAGTGATCACCCAACATTTTCAACAATTTCAAGCACAATAGTTGTGTGAGTATGTTTCCGAATGCCAGTGGCTAGACTATCAAAAGTGAAGAACTGCCACAAATGTCTGGACACTGCACAAATCACACTTCTGTTTTGCCTCTCTTCATGAAAGGTTCACAGGTCACAGGTCCTTGAACATATCTAAGACCAGGTCATAGCAGGCTGTACACTGTATCATCTGCTCTGCTATACGTTTTGTTGGGCATGGAGGGGAGCAAGAAAAGCCAAATTTCAGAAGATATGATGGATCTTTCTCAAGGCCATGGACCAAACTGGACTCATGCAGAAGTTGAGGCACTGATTGATATTTGGGATGAACGGAAAGTGTTAACACAGCTGAAAAACTGCAGAAATAAACCTGTGTATGTCTCTATTGTGGAACAAGTAGAACAATGTGGTATCAAACGTGACTGGGAACAGTGTTGCAGTAGGATGAAGTCCTTAAATTGTGCCTTCCATCGCATAAAGGACAATAATTCTCAGTCTGGTGCCTCACAGAGAATGATTCCATTCTATGAGAAGCTGTGTACCATCCTGAAAAGAGATGCTTCAGAGGCTTATGTGAATGATTTTGGCACAACAGGTTTGGTAGACAATGAACCAGAAACACCCCGGAGCCAAAATACTGTTGGCAAGCCACAGCTACTTTGCAAGTTCCACACAATCAGCCTCCTCCTCAAGAACAGAATGTCAGTCACAGACCGACGACTTCAGTTGGGACTGCTCAAGGGACCTCTTCAGCACACAGCCAGAAATGAGTTCCCCCTCTACTTTGGTTAACCCACGTATTTTGGTACATGACACCCTGGATGATGAGCAGCTGTGGAACAGAAATGACTCTCCTGTTCATGATGAGGAAGAGGACTCCAACTCAACCAATATTGGTTCCCAATTGAGTGCTGTTTCAGAGAACCAACAACAGAGGCCTGAGACGGAGACACCTCAAGCCTTGCAAACAGTGACTTGTAAAGTAAAAGCAGTGGTATTAGGCATGAGTGTAAAATATTACTGTGGTGGGGGTGGGTCCTTAGTCTCCCAGGGTGGGGGAGTCCCTGGTCACTCCCTTAAACAAATCTAACCTACCCCCTGCTTGGTGGATGGTGGTATGTGTGTTTTTCCAGGTGGAGGGGTACCAGATACAGGTAGGTGAGGGACAGGATGCCTTGAGACCAGGCAGAATATTTTTGGGGGTGCAGCCTTAATACAACAGTTGGGTGTTAGCTAGTGGGCTTTCATTGGTAATTCTTGTGGAGGGTGTTCCGTTAAAATATTTTAACAATGACTCACTGTTCTTTAAAAAGAAATGTTTTAAAGTAACCAAAGACCTGATGAGAGCTTGTTTTTTCTCTGTACACAGCAAACCCTGACACCAGTGCACTTATCGATCAAATCAAAGAGCAGCTAAGGAAAATATTCTTCAACTACTGGCAGAAGAGTAGCATAAATTGAACTAATGTAGCTGATGTTAACAGAGTGTAATAATAGTAAAATATAACCATGTTAGTCTTGTCCTGTTAGCAACTTGAAAACTCCATTTTGTATCCTTCTGCTTGACATAAGTGAATGAACTCTGCATAGCCTTTATGTATAAGTGTGTGAATGGTGAGAGAATGGCATAGAGACAGGAGAAGATTTAACTGTTTACGTAAGCAACAAGGCGCCAAATGTAAGTTACCAGCCAGTAACTATCTAACAAACGGCTGAGGAATCCCTTTGAAGCTAGAGGGCACAAAGGAGATAACAGAAGAAGAAATTCTGCCAGACGGGCAACAAGAACATTCCAAGGCTAAGGTAAGCTGAAGACAAAAGAAGAACAACCGCAAAAACAGAAGCTGGGTATGGAAAAACCCCAAAGCAGTGAAACAAAGGATGCCAGTCCCTATAAAAGAACACTTTGAAAATGCCAAGTTGGGCGAGTCTCTTTCTCTACTGCTGTTTCATCAGAGCACAGGTGCATCTGTTCACCCCGCTCCAGCTGTTATCTTCAAATCATCATCATCTACTCAATAAGCCTGGGTTGGCCACCCTGGGCTGATACTGAGCAACTATTGCTGCTAATCTAGTTTGTGTGTGAATGAAATGGTTGTTTTGTGTATGTGTGTGCCTGTGTATGATGATGTGTGTGTGTGTTTGTATGAATGGTGTGCTTGAACCTCTACATCTAACTCATGTGATCAATAAATGCGGCACCTTGCCTTACCTCCCTTTATAAAGTCTCACTCGTGATTTGAGCAATTGGCAATTTGTGTAACAGAAGCGTCCCAAAACATATCTAAGTCTAACCAAATGACATACAAAATTAAGGATATCTTCAATGGGTTAAAGTGGAGTGAGGAAGCCAACCTCCAGGTTATGAAAAAACACGAGTAATAAAATGGTAGAATGTTTTAAAGAATTCAATAAGAAAGTTGATCGTGACACCAAGCTGAGGGGTGTAGTAGATATGCGGGATGGTAGGCGTGACAGGTGGCTGTCACATGGCCAGTCCAATCGTTGGCCTGCCCACTTGTCTGGGGCAGTCTGCCCACCTGCCTCATTTGCCATGCCTTTGATGTAACTCAGAGAAGTTACCCCTTTTCCATGTCCTATGCCTCACAGATGGCATCACTTAGTGGCTCCAGCCCCACAACAGGCTTCACTTTACACCTGCCTGATGTTTGGACCCCACTTGGATCCCTCCTACTCACACAGTCTAATCTCTGCTCTCATTCTGGAATGCAAGACTCCCTAAGCCCTTTTCCCACTCAGCAGTGGCCCTCTCCAGGACCTTTGGCCATACAAGCCCTGGCCCCGCCTTTAGGCCAGTTAGAACTCCAAGCCCCTGGCTCTCCCTCACGGTGGGCGTTCTGGCCCTTTGACCGATCTGGTCCTGGCCTCAGCATGCGCCAATCAAGGTTACTCTGGGTAAGTTACTGGGCTGCTCACCCTCACTCTCCCATCCAGGTCTGCCTTCTTGAGCTCCTCCAAACAGCTCACTTGATCACTATGAACAGCCTATGTGCAGTCCTTCAGACCCACCCATGCGGACCCTACTCTATGCAGCCCACGTGCAGTCCTTCAGGCTTGCCCACGTGGACCCTATGCTATGCAAACCAATCACTCTCACACCCGTTCACTAGGGCTACTAGGCCTTATAAACCTTGGGCCTCAGGCCTGTCCTGTCTCTGGGGTTACCCACCAGATTGTGGGGGCTGCAGCTATGCAGCACCCCATACTCACCTTTCACTAGGAAAGCACTGGTCCAGCATTTCCTGGGGACCAGCCCACCATAGGCAGACCTACCACACCATCCAAGCCTAGCAGGGTGTAGTTTTACGTCATTCCACAGGACAAGGAGCCTCCTTCATCCCTACCGTTCCTACCCTTAACCTCCAGGTGTTCTGACAGCAGCAGATAACTAGCTGGGCGATGTTACTCCAGCAGCATCCCTACACCCTGCCCTGCACAGATCCAGAGGCACATGACCCCCATGCCTTCTCGGGATGCTCACAGCTGTGGGAGCCACCCCTTGCTTGGCGAACTCTGGTGATCTTTTGGCGAACTCTGGTCCTCTTCCCCTGCCGCAGCCTCACTCTCCCTCCCCACCGCTGGGGCCTCAATCTGCCCTCTGAGACTGGGACATGATGAGTTAAGGCGCATGAGGGCATCAGCTGAAAGTGCTGATCAGATCCAGCCTGCTCAGACGTGTTCTCTCTGTGTGTGTGTGTGTGTGTGTGTGTGTGTGTGTGTGTGTGTGTGTGTGTGTGTGTGTGTGTGTGTGTGTGTAAAATTGCATTTATTATTATCCTAGTGAAATAAGGGATAAACTGAGTTCAAGGCACATGAGGGTGTCAGCCTGCCAATGCTGAATAGTCCAGCCTGACTCAGATGCACTCTGTTAACCTGTGCGCTTGTGTCTGACTGTATTTTATTGTTGCCCTGATGAACTGAGTTCAAGGCATGTGAGGGTGTTAGCCTGACAATGTTGAATAACCTGGCTTGGCTCAGGCACGTCCTGTTAATCTGTATGTGTGGCGCACGCATGTGTTTGATCGATTCGGTGGTCGGAGGAACCCAGCCCCATTGAAACCGAGTCCTGCAAGGTAGTTCCACTGGGGGTGAGGAACTGCAGAAGGGAGAGATACAGCCCCAGATAGAAACACAAGTAACACAAGCAGCACATTGACAGAATTACAGAGACCCCAGAAACATAGCCCTAATAAATAAGCACACCCCAAAGTGATGGGCAAATCTGGTAACAGAGGTGACCACCTTCTAGCTGCTGCCTGCATCAGAGGGACACCAAGAAGAGGTCCTGTGTGGTTGGAGTTTGTCCCTCTGCATAAGGTCACTTGGCAGTGTGGCCCCAGTATACTCACTATCCATCTCTCCAGCATAGTCCTCTGACCTCAGGAGGACATGAAGCAGATCAGACATGGTTGGGTCAAACTGTATACTGTCTTTCTGGTTGATTTTGCATTTTACAGGTGTTTTTGTTTTTTTAAACGTGGGATTGGAGTTTAAAGGAATGCTACCACTAAACACAAGGAGTGTCAAACTGCCCAATGTTTGCAGCCCCAGAAGCAGAAAGGCCACAGAATAGATGACCTTATAAACAGGGTCTGGATTATCTCATGAGCACCACGTTTCCTTAAGCAAGGCAGCAGTCATCTTCTTAAATAAATGACTAGATCCCTCCTCTAGATCTCAATAGCTCCAAAAGAAATCATTTTGGAGATCCTATAAATCAGGGGTAGGCAACCCTGGGAACGGATGTCAGAGTGGCATGCTAAAACATTTTGCTTGGCACATACACCTTGGAGTACATGTAGGGGACAGCAGGGAAGGGGTTGGAGCTGCACTGCCACAACAAGGACTGGGCCCCTTGTGGCTCCCCTGCCACATCAACATCTTACAACAGTGGTTGTCAACCGGGTTATGTATACCCCAGGGGTATTTAAAAAGGTCCTAAGGGGTACTCAGACTTGATGTGGCCGATAAATGTTGCGCGCATGCTCACAGCTGCAGCACAGCACGCAGGCAGCCAGGAGAACAGTGGGGTCTGGCTGGTAAGTATGTTGTGAGGGAAGGGGCCTTGGGGG